TTGTGGCAGTGATGTAGAGATGGCGTGTGTATGTTGTGACCTGCGCTCCAAACACAATCATCTGCGGGTTCTGCGGATGCCCTTGCGACGTCACCAACACCTGCCAATTGATTGATGGTGTGTGCGCGCGTGTGCGCGCGTGCATGTACATGTGAGAGTGAGAGAGAGTGTGTGTGTGTGTGAGTGTGAGTTGAACTTACACCAACACCAACACTACATGCGTGCTGGCCACTGTGTGTGCGTGTGTACGTATGTATGTGCACAGCTGTGCTCACCTGAATCTCGGCACGCCGTGGAACGTCGTTGCATAGGGGCCGCTGCGTGTAGTTCAGGAACAGCTCTTGCTGTTGTTACGGTGGTGGGTGGGGCGAGTGGAGATGGAGCGAATAAGTGTTGTTGCGAATTGTTGACGTTGGTAAGAGACAGAACAGAACAAAACACCAGGAGTAACAGAAAGGCAAGCAGGCACAGCAGCAGCAACAACAACACACACACACATACAAAGCAACAACACACATACACACGCGCATACACACGCACATACACGCACGCACGCGTGTAGCACACGGACTGACATCGGCGTATTCGCGGGTGGTGGTGTGGATGACGTCGATCCATTCGCCCGCTGCAGATGTGTCAGAATCGCCGTAAATGCCGACGCGGCCGGGAACCGACGACGACGAGGGGAGCCCAAGGTGCTGTTGCAGCGATGATGGCGGTGATGGTAGTTGTTAGGTGGGGGGCGGTTGGTCGTTGTTGGGGTTGGGGGGGCGGTTGTTGTTTGTGAGGTGATGACAAGGCATACACCAAGATGCAACGATGACAGTAACACAGGCCCACGTGTGCTCGTGTGAACGACACCTGTCTGAAATTGGCGCGCAAAGCGTTGCAGTCGCTGAAATCGTCGACGGAAAACTCGAGTTGACACATTGACAGCGAATTCTCGTTGAAGGCGAGCGGGCGGCGGCCAACCTGTGAGGCGTGAATGTGTGTGTGTGTGTGTGTGTGAGTGTGTGCGCGCGCGTGTGGGTGTGTGTGTCTGTGTCTGTTTGGGAGCCATGGGGAGGCAGGTGGATGGAAACACCTCGGGTACAAGCGTACCTCACTGCAGCGTGTTGATCTTGCGTCGACGCCAATCAGCGAATACTCAAAGTCCTGATGGCGCCACGCAATAGAACACAATACAAGGCAGCATTGCGACAGCACATGAGTTTTCAAACTGCAAGCAAACACTCTGAGAAAGCACATCAAGGGCACCAACACCCGTCATCATCATCATCATCATCAGCAATGTGGTGTCACCTGCATGAGCAGCGGGCGGCCGTCCAAATATCCGGGGCGACCAGAGCGAACTGGTAGTGTGTGAATGGGATGTGTTGGCAAAGGGAAGCGTGCTTTCAGCGCACACATGCTTACACACTCTCACATACAGGTACACAGGAACACAGATGCATGCACAACAACCACACTACAAGCAGGACCTCACTGTCCCACCTTTTGCGTCTGTGCTGCGGGCAAAGGTGACGGCGAACGTCTGCACAAATGGCTGCGATTGCGTCACGTTGGCGGCGGTGACGTCCACATGCGCAGCGGACACACCCTGAAGACGATGGTGTTGGCGAGGGAGGGAGGGGGCGGGTTGGAACAGGGTGACCAAAGTGAATGGATGAATGGACAAGACCTACAATAAGCTTCGATTCCAAACATCGCCAGCAAACAGCAGGAACACAAGTAACACACACACACACACACACACACACACACACACACACACACACACACACACACACACAAGATGTGCTCACGTCTTCTCCCCAGATGAAGGTGACGGCGATGGAGGCCGCAGCGTGCGCACATGTGCCATTGATGAACGTCGTGTCGGGCAGACCGGACGGCGGCAGAACTACGCTCACCTGTGCCCATCGTCGTGGTGGTGGGTGTTGTTGTTTTTGTGCACGTGTGTATATGTGTGAGCATGCACGTACGCATGCGTGTGTGTATGATAAATGGGTATGTGAGGTTTCGCATGTACGATGCATGTGCGAGCACCACGTGCTGCAGACGGCATGTTGTGGTGCAGTAGATGTACGCACGAGCTGCAGCGTTGCCGGGTTGGCGATGATGGAGGACAGCGACGTGACAAACGCGTCGATGGAGAGCAAACCCGAGCAGGCGGACGCCAGGTCCGCTTCACCATCAAATTGCCTGTGTTGCGTTTGAGTTGAAGAGCAGCAGGCGTGTTTGGTCAGTAGATGGTCGTGACAAGGCACCGCGATCGCCATGCTGTGACGAAGTTTGCACACACACACACACACACACACACACACACACACACACACACACACACACACACA